TATAGTCTACTTGTTGCCATAGCCTGAATAGAAAAGCCTGTCCCCTGCCAGCATTCTGCAATGAAGAACCTCTCTGTGTGGAAGCAGTGGTCTCTCTTCAGAGGTCTGACACGCCCCCTGCTAGGTCAAAGCCAGAGCAGGGTAAATAAGCCTTGCTGATTGCAGAGTTATGAGTCTGACTCAGTGGGGGGCCTCTGAAGAGGTCCAACACGCCCCCTACTGAGTCAGACTCATAACTCTGCAATCATCAAGGCTTATTTACCCTGCTCTGGCTTTGACCTAGCAGGGGGCGTGTCAGACCTCTGAAGAGAGACCACTGCTTCCAGACAGAGAGGTTGCCTCCAATCAAAGAGAAGAGGGCCTTCACTGCAGCATGCTAGCAGGGGAAAATATTTTCTACTCAGGCTATGGCTACAAGTAGACTATGATGGCTTGGGGTTCATTTTATTTTAACTATTTTTTACAATTTCCTATGCAAGCACACACAAACTCTTAGTTTTACAAATACACATTTAATACAAGATAAAGGAATCCCAGAGCAGTAGGGCTTAGCTCAAGGGCCAGCATAGCAGAGAAGTTTGCTTGGCAGAGAAGTTTGCTTTGAGGCTCCATTTGTCTGATTGAAACCTCAGACTGAGCTGTCTAATAGGGGTGGAGTCACTCCTCTGATGACTCGTTGGAGTCCCACAAGAAACGTGCTTCTCTCACCACAGAAAAATAAGATATAATACTAATGGTGTGGAAAAGAGACTAGAACTTCTGCTAAATATATATTTTTTAGATTTCTTTGTAGTCCTGGCCATAAAAGACAAAGAAAGAAAACACATATAAAACCACTGTAACCAAATCTCAAGCCCCCGACCTGGGGAGCCGATATGGATGGGGGCTCCATGACATTGCTTCATAGGGTGCGTCACTATTGCTGCTGCGTCCAGTTTGTCCTGAGGAATTGGCCGCATGGTGACCACCAGACTGCAGGAGAATTTGCCCACCCCGTGGCAGGGGACAGCCGTCTGCAGAAGAGAAACTGCATATCAAAAGATGGCGGAAACTCAATAAGAGATCATCACTCGCACGTGCTTAGAGCCATGTGATCAGTAAATACGGCCCCGTCTAGAAACCTCGGCCTCTTACCTTGTACATGCTCACATTACGCCCCTGCTCCACGTTCCTCACAGGCACCCCGAGTTTTTGCACAGCGCTTTCGAAAGAGAAGCTGCAGCCCAGATAAAAGGTCACCATGTCCTTCAGCGACTCTGAGTAGTTCTCAAGGCTGGAGTGACTTCCTGCGAAGGTGCCATTTTCATACCTCCGATACAGGAGGCAGTCTGTCCTACAACAAAAACCAGCAAGCTTCAAAAAAAATGACTGGTTACAACAGGGGCGTCCTGAGGCTGGGTGACACCCGGAGCGGTAACCGAGTGGCACCCCGCCGAGACGTCACTGCGCATGCGCGTGACCACGCGCGTGCGCGATGACGTCTTCGCTCACGCGCGGCAGTATTTTGATACCTGCCGGCGGCCATCTTGGTGATGGACGCCGTCAGAGAGAGGAGGGGACAGTCACCCGGCGGGATAAGGTATGCCGCCGGGTCCCCTCCTCTCTCCTGATACTGTCGGGCGTTCGGCCCATGACCGAGCGCCCGACTTTTCAGAGGGGGTGACACAAAAATGACTGTGAGTCATTTTGGTGTCACCCCTCCAATGGTGTCACCCGGGTGCGGGCCGCACCCCC